GAAACTTGTTTTGCAATGTAGCAACCTAGAAACTCTAAACAACCCAAAGGTTCTGGGGGCACATGTTGCAAAGCAACTCATCCCCATGCTCTTAATTAAAAGCAAAAACAATGACATGACTTGTATTCTCTGCTTATCTCTTCAGTTGCAAAATTAAATAACCAGGAATTGCCATGATGTGCAAACTGTATCTCTCAGTCTTGGCTCTGCCTTTCATTGAAGGCAGGGTTAATTGGTCACTCCCAAGATTTCACTGAGATCAGAGCATGCTTCTTGAGAATGGTTACCTTATCCCTTCCACAGAGCAGAGGGGAAGGATTTCCATTTCCTTCTAGAAGAGGCTTCCCATTACAAGTGTGGTCAGGAGGCGCTCATAATGCTCTCTTATTCTTGCCTCTCCTGTTTTCTTTTGCTGTTTCCTGAGAGAGAGAGAATGTTTCCAGCAGATGCACACAGGCTTGGCATTGAAGCATTCATCACAAGATGAAGATCTTTCCTGATCATTCACCACCAGTGCAGATCTTATCAGCATATACATAAAGCTGGAATGTTTTGTCTCAAAGTGCATCACTTAACACTTGATTATGTTGAACCAAATTTGCATTTTGATGCCCATTCTCCAAGATTAGAGATATTCTTTCTGGAGCTTTTATAAGCTTTTTATTTTAACTACACTAAATAATTTAGTGTCATCAGTGAATTTGGCCACTTCACTGTTGAGGCTTCTGTTTGAATTCTGGAGCATTCACAAACATGTTTAAAAAATCAGGTCTCATTGCAAATCTTCGAAAATGCCCCCACTCCCATTTCCTTCCAGTATTGGGAGATTGACCACTTAATCTTATTTTCTGCTTTCTGTTCTTCAAGGAGGTACTGATTGCAAAGTTTATTCAGAAGTCTTTGTGGTGTGCCTTTGGGAAGTTCATATGAACACGGTCTACCTCAGGGCTACAGAAGTGTTTTTGGGTGCGGGAACCCATTGGCTCTCTACCAGCTCTCTACAGACCAAAGGATATAATTGAACTGCCGTCCTGCCCACGGCTTATTTTGACTTTCTCCATACTGGAAGAGGCACTTCAGTGTGGTGAAAGGAATTCAGCAGCTGCTGCGTGGAGCAGATGCTCAGATGAGGTGTGGCCAAGAAACAGTCTGTTTCCCTTTGTATGGAATCTTTCAGGGCATTGAAGCTGAGATTTGGAAGGGAAAACGATTATGTTAGACTCAGCTACAATTTATTCTGTGGGATGAGTGCTGTCAGTTGTCATACTACCACAAAATGTAGCCACTAGGTTTCTAACAGACTGAATGAAGAGGCATACATTATGCCAATGCTTAAAGAACTGCACTGATCCCTCGTCCATTTCTGAGCACAATTCAAGTGTTGGTGTTTCTTTTTAAAGCCCTACATGATCTGAAGCTGAACTACACACACAAATACCTTTGCTGGAATCTGCTTTGGAGATCTTCCTCAGAGTGCCACCACAAAATGAGGTAAAATGGGTAGCAAAAGAAAGTGCTGCCTGTGGTGGTGTGCCATCTAGAGAACTCTTCTCCCTGGGAGGTGTGCCAGGACCTGCATTTACAACTAGGCCTTTTATTTTTCCAGACTTTTAAAATCCTCCATGCTGCATTTCTGTTGCTGCTGTAGTTGATATTTGTGGGGGTTTTTTAACTGGTGGTTTTAATTATTATGTGTCCTTTATTACAAGCTGCTCTGGTTTCAGTTGAAAGGAGATTAGAAACATGTTAACTGAGCCAATTGTCAGTGCCTCACTAACACTTATAGTTTCTGGTTTCATGTCTCTAGCAAAATGTATTTATATACTTCTGCCAAGGATCTCAGAGCAATGTTGTTTCTTGTGAACCTTTCTTGAGGTAGGCTAAAGCTAACTGATAAACTAAAGTGATTTTAACCTAGGATCAATATATTCAAACCCTGTGCCATATTAGCTTTAATTAAAAAATGTCAAATGAAGTGGAGCTCCAGCATATGTATACTGTGTTGCTTGATTACATATTGCTGTAAATGAGAACTGATCACTCCCACTTCCCTTTTCTCCTATGTTACTCCTGCAGTGGGAAAGGAAGTGCTTTCTAGTAATCCCTGGAGATTTCTGATTGGTTTTTGGTGATCTCATTTGGAATTCCCCACAATCTCTTCCCCCACACCAGAGAGAGTGATGTCAACAGGAAAGAAGGCTGATGCAACCAGGAGCAACTAACTTCTACTGAAAGCCTCTGAAAGAGAAACTGGTCTTGAGTACACATGTAGGAGGGTGTTCATGTAATTCTTTAGGAGAACTGCTGCAGTGTCCTTGATGCAATAGAATTTAAGCAGCAGAGATTGCTGGTTTTCAGCTGGATGAGGGATGTATGTTTGGTTCCCATAGTGAGGATTTGGTGTCCTTAAGACAGTCTGCTGAGTAGGGTTAAATAGCCAGCTCCTATTAGCAAAGCAGATCACGAAAGTTTCAGATACCAGATACCATTTGGAAATGCTACTATTGTGCATGCTGATAATATGCAAAAGAACTCTGGTTCCTTGGAAGAAATGACCTCATACCTCAGTGAAAGACAGAATCATGGCATTTTGTATTGAAATATAAAGCAAAAGATGCATGAAATAGCTGTACCACACAGTTCACAATAGCTGAAGCACAGATTGCATCCTTGTAAAAATTTAACATTATTTTCCTTCTTTTCTGCATGATTTGGCCCTGAATCTTGGAGTCTGCAACAGTTAATCCTGTAACTACCTTCTTTATGCTGAAGCAGTGTTGGTACAATACAGCTTCTCTTGATACCTAATGATTGTGATCTTGTCCTACACAAAAAATCCTGTTTGCAATATTGTCAAGATCCCTTAGAGATTGACAATTTCCTTTCTATAGAAACAAGACTATTTTTTTCATGACAGTGTGATGCTAATGTATATATTGAGAGGTACAAAGCAACCTGCTATGTACAGCAGTAACCTAAGGCAGATGAGTATCACAGTCTTGGGGGTTTGCTCAGGGAATGTTCCCAAAGCAACATGTTCCTTCTCTTGAACAATTCGAGATAAGAAAAACTACTGCTTGACTGGTAACTAAAATAGCAAATGGGGATTCATGTTCTGTTTGCATGGCTACAGCAAATGCAGCAGAAACAAGCTCCCTTTAAACATCATGGTTATTTTGTTCTGCATACCTATGTTGTACTTGCTAGGAATCTTAAGTGGGGGTAAGATCCCATAATCAACAGGTGCAGTATAAGGATATCTTGTAGCCTTTCTGATAGCAACAGGATCCTGATCCCCCATTTTCTGTATATTAATCATGGGGCCAATATGAGCAGCAAGCAGAGGTGTGCCTAATTGTTTTTAGGTTTTTTTGTTCTCATCCATGTATGTGATACTTATGAGCAAGGGTTTTGCCATATGCATAATAACTGAGTTTACGGCTAAACATGAGGAAGCTATTCAAGACTTTGAGCTTTGTTTAGTAAGTTCATTTTACCCTAAGGCAAGCAAAGCAGTGGGGTGGGTTCACATGGAATATAGAATTAAGACTTCACCTGATATTTGTAGTTTCATTTGGTAACTAAGGCATATTTTACTCGATGTCTGAGTCATTGTATGGTTTGTTTGCTTGTAGCTAAACTAGTGCTTCTGCTCTTCCTCCCAATTTATATTTGGTGACAAGTGCATTCTTATTACCTGTTTTGCATCCAAAGGGATATGCACATATATTTTGTAAATGTGCATGGATCTTGAAATTTGCTGTCCAAGGTGGTTACTACAGAATACCCAAATTTTCCTCAATTCAAAAGACAGTTGGAAGATACAGTATAAGAGCTTCCTAACAAGAAAATGCTTGTGGTGATTCATGCTATTTTCATGCGACGTGGCATTTCTGTTGAATCTCCAAACTACATTTGAATTCAAGAGAGTTTAAAAAGCAATACTGCATTTCTGCAGGAGCACCTCCTGAGAGTGAGATAACATCCAGCAACCATTCCATCTGCAACAGAGGAGGAGATAGAATCAGATCCCCTTGGCTCACCTGAGAGACTTGCAATGCTTTGCTCTTCCTTTCTTTGAACTGTTTAACCTGGTAGTGAAAAATAAGCCAATAATGTTTGGCTGCATTATAGCTGGCCATTATAAAAGCTATAATATTAACTGTTGGCTGGGTTTTCTTATTTTCTTTGTCCCATGCACTTTTCCATTTATGCTATGTCTTTTTATTTTAAGCTGGATAACAGAAACTTCATTGATCTGTAAACTCCTCTGGAAGCCTTTCTGGCTTACGAGTGGCATCTATATGCTTTAAATATTTATCAGTAGTGCATATACTTCTTTAAATTGCATGTATAATTGGTGTCATGATCCAGCAGAGTTAAGGAACCTACAGCTGTGAAACCTGAAAGAGGTTCAAGTTAATAAAACTGAGCAACAAAGGCAGCTGTCTGCTTTTTTTTTTGAAAGGAAATCTCTAGATGGATTATAATGTACTAAGTAGCAAATTGTCCTATAAATTAATATATGGGAACGGTCCACAAAACTTGGCTTGGCTTATTTGCTAAACTATTATTTTTGGTTGCCATAATTCTCCACCTTTCAAGAACATTCAAAGGGAGGTTTGTGCTGGGCTTTTGCGGAAACGCAAGCAGCACTTCACTGCTGCATTATGCATAAATAAGCTCAGTGTGAAGGAAAGAAGAGAAAGGTAGGACTGAAGAGCGAAGGAATAGTTTCTTCATTGCAGAAACTGGATTTTGGTGGAAGTGTGAGAATGCTCAGCTGGGGAATGGAATGGAGAAGTACTTACAAATGGCAAGTTGCCAAGTGAGTTTAGCATGAGAAAACTAGTCTCCCAGTGTTACCAAGAAGGCTCAGAGTGGTCTCGTAGCATGTCAAGAGCATGGTCTTCCTGTCCTTCCTTTGCACCCCAAGAAGTGGGAAGAACCCAAAAGGGGCTGAGCTGTAGACTAACTGAAGATTCCCAACTCTTTTGCAGGATGAGCAGATTGACTGGGAAAAACCCACTCTGTCCCAAGCTGAAGTTGAACAGAAGATAAAAGAATATAACAGCCAGATCAATAGCAACTTGTTCATGAGCTTGGTAAGTTTCAAGAGAGCTATAACTTGGGGCCCTGGAACAATTCAGCACCTGGGCTTCAAATGCCTGTGCCTTTCCTCCCAATCTCACTTCTGAATCCTTAAAAATGCTCCATAGTAATCATTCTGGGTATATGGTATTCCATCTTCAACTTTGTGGCATCCTGCATTGTTCCAGCAAGTGTAAAAAACAGTCTGTATTTTTCCTTCACCAGAGACTGTAAGTGGAGCTCTCTCCAGGATTGTGGGAATTCAATTTAGCTTCACTGCTCAAAATTTTGCTGTCGTAAGAGTTTTGCTGCCATGTGACCATTGTGCACAACTCACTATATTTCTACTCCCGCAGAACAAAGATGGTTCCTACACTGGCTTCATCAAGGTACAATTAAAGCTAATCAGGCCAGTCTCGGTACCTGCCAATAAGAAGGCACCCTCTATCCAGGACACCAGGAAGAGCTCATCCCGTAGCCAGGCTGTAAAGCGTCGCACCTCATTTTACCTGCCCAAGGACACAGTCAAGCACCTGCATATAATTTCTCGTACACGTGCTAGTGAGGTCATTGAGGCCCTGCTCAAGAAGTTTATGGTAGTTGACAACCCCCGCAAGTTTGCCCTCTTTGAAAGAACTGAAAAGGAAGATCAAGGTACTTAATCCCTTATTTTCGAACCCCTTGCAAAAACAGCACAAACTTCTTCCAGGCTTGTAAATAATGACTTGCCTGTAACCTGTGATAAGTAGGAATTTCTTCCAGATAGCCAAGAAGAAAAAATATTAACTGGAAGAGAGCTATTTGTTTATAAGTGCATTGAATTAACATAACCTTTGCAGACTAACTTGTAAGGTTCATATATTATCAGCCACCAGGTAATACAATTGAATGCATAGACCTCTAGAATAAGAGTTTGGTAGAAAAGTCATATGTAAGTCACCTGGAACAAGTTGGCTTGCTTTATTTTGAAGACAGAAGTACAGTCCTCACTTTATTTGCAAAATACATGCTAGTGTAGAAGAATAGGTGTGTTTAAGAATGTGGTCTCATCACTGTTAATTACAAACCTGTCCTAGAGTCCAGCTTATTACTTACACTCCTCTGAGATGGGCTGGAAGGGAAAAATAGGTGACTGTCCATCATGCCCTTTGCTCCTGATTTGTTTGTTGTAGTTCTGGATCAGTTTGCATGACACAGTTTAATATGTTGAGGGATATTTAACCCGCATCTGCCAGTACCACTTTACATATCCAGCCCCCCCCTTGGGGCTGTCCTGTCATGCAAACCCAGTGAATGTGGGTTGTGTGACAGTCAAACCAAGCTCAGATAATCCTTAGTCTGTTCTGGAGGAATGTGAAGTTTAACTCTTTCATAGTCCTTGCTTGTAAGATAGGCATGCTACAGCAAACTCCCAAGTGGATTGAACGTGCCAGTGGGTGGCCACAGAAACCCTGCATGTGCCACAGTGCCTTAGTGTTATGGAAACTGGCTGATTGACTGCTGGAAAAAAAATAGAGACAACAGTGTGTTAACAGCACCCTCTTCTGGAAGAGAACAGATAGGTATATAAGAAGATGGTAGATAAGGGCCAGTCTCTCCTGTTCAGAGAAGTTAATTAATTAATTCTCTCTGCTTTTCTTGTCTTTCAGTGTATCTCCGCAAGCTTTCTGATGAGGAGCAGCCACTGCATCTCCGGCTGCTTGCTGGCCCAAGTGAAAAGGCACTCAGCTTTGTTCTGAAGGAAAACGAGACAGGAGAAGTTAATGTGAGTATGAATATTGACTGTGTCAGAGGTTCTGCATCAAAGTTTGTGCAGCTGGCTACTGATGTAGCTAGTGGTGGGACAAAGCTCATAAATACCTGGCTGTTTTCAAACAGCTAGCCTACTTTTGTCATGACTTCACTGGACAAGTGGACAGTGGTCCTTGGGTTCCTAGTTGCAATTGCATGGTTGTTCATATCAAGTGATACAGAGTAGAGTAGAAAATTTCTGCTATCCTGGTAGGGTTTTTTTTCCAGAAAATGTACAAGAGCTAAAAAAAAATCCATAAAACATGATTACAATACAAATAAAACTTGACTATTTCAAAATTATAATTTAACTTTTTTCAGGTGACTATTGCTAAGCACTGTGTGTACATGTTATGCACAACTTTTGGGGCTTGCAAAAAATATGTTAACTTTCTAGAACCTTAATTTTTAATTAAAAATTAAATAATGAGACAAGTGTGTACTATGGATTTTTCACTTAAATGACTGGAATGTTTGTAAAAATTTTAAGTCTCCCAAGTAAAGCTTTGAACATGCTTGAATATCATGTTTAAGCTATGTTCTTTTAATTTTTTTTCTGCTTGGTGTTACTTTCTTAATCAAATAACAGTAAGCCATTAATTTGGCTGTCAGAAAAACTGGAATTTCAAAAGGATTCAGAATCTTCCCTAAAGCCCATTTTACAGCTTTATGACAGGAATTAATGTGGCTGGATACAGCTCACTGCTCAAGAGCAGCTTCTGTCTTTTCTTTTCAAATATCCTTTTGTCTCATGTATCTCAGTAGATGTGTGCACTGAGGGTAACAGTTGAGCCTTCAGTAATTTCTAGAGTCTGACCAAAAAAGTCAACTCTGTAAGGGCTTGGTTTGCAGATAGTGATACCAAATGAATACGCTAAACTAAATTCTTTACTGGATGCTTCAGAACAATGTTGATGTGTGTCAGTGTTTCTGAACAGTTCACAAGCACTGAATGTAGTGAAATACAGATGCCAGCCTTGCATAAACCTTGGCTGTTTTTGTATGCATCTCCCTATGTATATAGAGTGTTAGCTACTTACTTTTCTTGACCAAGTCTAAGTCCCCTCATTGCTGTTAAAGCTCTTCTTCTATATTCTAGGCCAACATTGTGTTCATGACTCTGATGTGAGCTCTCTTGCCATGAACACTGTGGTCACTACTTTCCTTCTCACTCTCTTCTCCAGTGGGATGCTTTTAGCATGCCTGAGCTACAGAATTTCCTGCGCATCCTGCAGCGTGAAGAAGAGGAGCATGTTCGGCAGATCCTGCAGAAATATGCCCATTGTCGCCAAAAAATGCAAGAGGCTCTGGCCACCCGTACTCCAGGTTGACAAGGTGCCCTACACCAGGCCAAGCACTACAGTAAATATTAGATACCGGATGCAGAGAAGCAGTGGAGCCAAGTGGACTACGAGTGAAGTGATCCTGGGACTGTCTGTGCGCTGAATGTATCTCTGGAGTGGGTGGGGAAAGGACGACAGGGATGTTCAGAACTCTTTGTGAGCCCATGATTGGTGCATGTGTGTGTGCTCCCCATGGCGTGAATGGTGAATAGAGTTGTTGGATGCATGACACAGCGGGATCAGGTAGGGAAGTAAAGATGTCCTTGTGGGATGTGTCTGAAAATGGGAAGGTTAGTTGTGCTGCTGTAGCAGCTCCTTTCAAAGTGCCAAGATAGTAATGCCCCTGCTGTACCAGAAACTGGCTGAGTGATATCATCTGGCTTGAATCTAGTGATGCTTTGTGATGGTAACATAAAGAAGATCAACCAAAGTGGCCTCAAATGGAGATGTACTCCTTAGAAGAGAAATGGCTTGGCAATCACATTTATTCCAAATTTGTTTTTATTTCTGTTGGAATTTGACTGTGAGGATTTGGTTTGATCCACGTACTTGTAAAGCTGGTTGCAAAGTGGAACCCTCTGCCTATAGGCCTTGTGTATACTTTGGTCATTCAAAAAATGGGGAATAAAGTTGCCTTCCATCTCAGATTTAAGTGATGGGGAAGAGTAATTGGATGGAAACCTTGCTAGTGCATGGTCAAGTTCAAGACGCCAAGGGAAAACCACAGTAGCAGAATCCAAAGAAATGGCAGGAGAATACTTGTTGACTTTTCTGATATCCAGGGAATAACATATAGACCAAAGCACATCTTACTGGAATTCCAATACTTATTTTGAGATTACTATTTTGACTATGGTTGAAGAAATAAGGACAGTAAAGGCAGTATAATGCTGAGCAACCTTCTGTGAGCAGTGTTCAAGAGACCAAGAAAATCAAGAAATACAGATACCTCTTCTTGCCCAGACACCTTCTTTTTCAACCTTTGCTGTGGAAAATGTGGACACCAGACATATATAACAAATCTCAGGATTCAGGTTTCTCTTCTGCCGAAGACAATGATAGATTTGTCCACTCCACCTTTTTGCTCATACATGCAATAGCCAGGCATAGGGGCATGTCTGGGGAATGTTCTTGAGCTAGCAGGAAATTCCCTGTGTGTTAGTTGGTGTGGAGGTGTGTTTACTACTACAGTAAGTTCTCTGTCTTTTTAAAGTCAAGTACATTGTCCAGAACAGACCTAAAATAAAGTAGGCCTACTAATAGAAGCTTTACTTTTCTGGTATTTAAAACTGGGATCGTCTCTTGACTGTCTTGAGAACCCAGTGGAGCCTTGGGGGCTCAGTTTGTGAATGGTGCTGTTTGTATATCAATAAATAAAAAAATTCAGGGGTGAGGAATGCCTGGTGTATGTGCTGCTTTAGAACCAGTTTCTTGCTGAAACAATAGGCTTATTCAGTGTCCCAGAAATTAGTGCTATCTGCTTGCAGTGGCAAGTCTAGTTTTCGTAGCAAGATCCTATTGATTTTGTATGTTCCACTCTTGGCCCTTTGCCAGACATCTCTTAAATTCTAACAGGGATGCCATTAGTACCAAGTCAAGACATGGGAGTGCTATTCATTAGAAATATGCCATAGGCCTAAGTCTGTTTCACAATCCAATCCTTGGGGTCCTCCAAAATTATTTTCTGCTCCACTGATTCCCACATGGCAGGTTTTCAAAGCAAGAAACAACAGGCAGTTATGGTGATGATCAACAGGTTAGATGATACCTCAGCATAATACCTTGCTTAAAATTGGGGGTTGATGGGTGAAATCCTAATGACTCCAAAAGACATTGAATTTGGCTTAAGGAATTACACTATACAGAATGAGAGCTAGAATTCTGTAATTTACCTGTATGATGATGGTTTTCACAGAGAATGAGCCTTGGACCTTGGAAGAAAACATAAGTGCATAATATCAGTCCCGTTCTGTATGGATTGGCAGCACCTGTGCATCATCATGGGTTAATCTTTTTCTGTGGCTGCTTTTGCTTCTGAAACTGCACTAGACTCTATATGTTCCCCCAGGATAGTTCAGAGGCTACCTAAAGACACTGCCATTCCCCTCAGAGTGTTTCCAAGGCCAGCCTTATTGCCTTACAATAAACAAAAAAAGTGCTTCCTCTCTACCAAGCCTGCGAGCTGGATACAGGTGTTGGGCAAAGAAACAATTACTAGTGTGAGCTAGATTTCATAGAATCAGAACAGTAGGGTTGGAAGAGGCTAGAAGGCCATCTGGTCCAACTCCCTGCTCAGTGCCAAACTCCCAGTTAAACCATCCCCCTCAGATGAACTGAACAAATGTTCAGTTGCATTTGTATAGCCAAAGAAGGGGACTGAGCTTGCATAGGAGTTGGGCTGGCACTGCCTATCCCAAACATAACTAGCACGCTCAAAAAGAATCTTTATGGCTGCTGGGAAAGGACACAAAATTGCTATTCCACTTCAGAACCATTGTTCAACTCTTAAACTTATTAGTGATTTTGTACCATCCCATTCATTATATGATCTTCATTTTGACTGGGTTTGCCAAAGTGGTCGTCTTGCTGGGTTCTCATCCCAGCAAGATTACAACCAAGTAATTATAATGGGGACTGGGGAGAAATGACTATTCAGTGCATTCCTACTAAAGATCAGAGATAAAGGGGAAAGGAGGGCTACTGACAATGGCCTTTTCTTATATGCCACAGAATCCACACTTGCCAAGTTCACACAATACAATAATCCCTGAGCAAGGATTGCATACTGAAAATGGTGACCACATGCAGCCTACATATGCCATGGCCTTGCCATGGGTTAAATAACCCATGATAGGTTGCCATGTCATGTGAACTGCCATAGAGGTAGACTGGTTCAGAAACTTAACTGATCAAATGGGCATTTGATTAGTGAAAGGCTAATCCACTGTGTATTACCACCAGTCACCTCTTCCCTCAGTTGATGCCCCTCTGTTCAGGCTTTCTCTCTCGACTGATCCTAGCATTGGTTGACACTTTCCTTTCTGGATCATACCTCGCAGAAGCCTAGCAACTGTGAAGAGGAACAAAGCCAAAGAATCTAAGAATGGTGCCCCTAAGCAAACTCCTATTGAATCCAGCATTCTGTTTGTACAGTAGCCAATTATGATGCCCCACAGGAAGTCCACAAGCAGGTCATTAATGCAATAACACCCTCCCATTTGTGTATCCCAGCAAGTGCTATTGAGGCACACTGCCTCTAATGTGGGGGAGGGGAGTAAAGAGCTTTCATCACTAAAAACCCTGGAGAGCCTTATTCTTCAATACTCTGTGTAACCACAATTTAAAGCCATCTATGATGGCTACGCTTCTTGGTGAAACAAATTGCTACACTTATCCTGAATCCCACCACCCACCTTTAACGGATGATCCCTGCAGAATTGCCTGCTTTTTCCACACTGTATAATTTTACACTGTTGTGTCGTATTCCCTTCTCACCATTTTTCTATGCGGAAAAATCCCCAAGTGACCATTTTTTATTTCTATACTGCCCAATAGCCAAAGTTCTCTAGGCAGTTTACAACTACACAAAATACAATAAACATGTAAGTTCTTTTTACAGAGTTGCTTCAGTCTGTTGAACATTTTGCCATTTTCTGAATCTTTTTCAACATTTTGAGGTGTGGAGACCGGAACCATACAGTATTCTAAGTGTAGTCATGCAACTGGTGTAAAAACACTAGGATTTTGGCCTTTTTCTTTTTAGTCTTTCCAAACGATATGGAAGGGGCAATGCTCGTATGCGCCCCTTCCACATAACCTGTACACTGAGTTCACATTTTCAATAAGCCATCCACAACACCAAGATCCCTTATCACCATCTATATGAAATTGAGTTTTTTGCTCCATCATGCATCACTTACATCTTGCTTACATGAAATCACATTTGCCATTTCAATACCCATTCTGCTGATTGGAGCAGACCTTTTGTAATCCTTCACAATCCCTTTTTGTTTAATCCTAAATCTTTTGATGCCAACAAACGTGCCCCCCTCCCTACTCAGCCCTAACCACAGTTCATTTATGGACACATTTAAAAGTACTGATTCCAATATTCTTTGGAGAGCCCACAGCTTACACTCCTCCTCAGGACAACTTAGTGCTTTGTTTTTCAACTTCCAAATAATGACAATCAGAAAACAGATAAATCTCCCATTTCAATACAGCATAACAGCCAAAGTTGATGGGGCCTAATGAATATGTGAAATGGATAAAATCAGACTGGGGTAGGCAGGAAATAAAGCTGGGGATATTACAATAACCGTTCCCCACGTCCCACCATTCCAGCGCCATATTAGCTGCATGCAGGGAATTCAGCTTCACTGCGCTGCCCTTGAACAAAACATGCTTTCCACGTCTTTTGGACGCGTGGGTGTCACATGACATTGAGTCCTCTGAGGAGGGTGCAATTTTACCTTCTCTAGTGATGCAGGCGCCCTGCTGTAGATTTATAATTTAGCCACGAGGCCATTAACATTTTCCTTCTTTGTTTGGTTGGATAAAGAGATATAAACAAGATCTGCATTCAGCTTCTCCTTCCTCACCCCCAAATATGGGCAACGGTACTGCAAGCCTGGGCTATTGGACGGTATATTTTCCATGGCGGTGGTTCCGCTCCTATCTCAATGGCCGATTCCAGAAGGTGGTGCTGGGGGACTATTGCTCTGCACCATGGTTATGCCATGGAGTTCCGCAGGGGTCCATTTTGTCCCCTTTGCTATTTAACATCTACAAGAAACCGCTGGGAGAGGTCATCAGGAGGTGTGGGCTGCAGAATCATCAGTACACTGATGATACCCAGCTCTACCTCTCGTTTTCCACCAATCCAGGTGGCTGTGCTGAACCGGTGCCTGGCCAAGGTAACGTGCTGGATGAGGGCCAATAAACTGAAGCTCAATCCAGACAAGACGGAGGTCCTGTTGGTGAGTGGCTCGGGCCTCGGGATGGGGGACTTGGGTCTTGTCCTAAATGGGGTTGCACTCCCTCTGCGGGACAGGGTTCGCAGCTTAGGAGTGCTCCTCGACCCTGAGCTGTCTCTGGAAGCTCAGGTGACGGCGGTGGCAAGGAGCGCCTTCCTTCAGCTTCGGCTGATACATCAGCTGTGTCCCTTTCTGGAGAACGACTGCCTGGCGACAGTGACACACGCGTTGGTGACTTCCCGATTAGATTTCTGTAACACGCTCTACGTGGGGCTGCCCTTGAAGATGGTCCGGATACTTCAGTTGGTGCAGAATAGAGCTGCCAGGTTGCTGACGGGGACTGGGCGTTGTTCTCATATAACCTCAATTCTCCGTCAGCTCCACTGGCTCCCGATTTAAATCCAGGCCCAATTCAAGGTGTTGGTTATGACCTATAAAGCCCTCAACGGCTTGGGACCTGGGTATCTAAAGGAACGCTTGTGTCCATATATGCCCTCCCGCCCCTTGAGATCAGCTACAGATGCCCTTCTCCGGGAACCCTCCGTGAATGATATTAGGAGGGTGAGTACCCGGAAGAGGGCCTTCTCTGTGGTGGCACCCCATCTATGGAATGCGCTCCCCAGAGAGGTCCGCCTGGCGCCGTCATTATTTGTTTTTTGGTGCCAGGCTAAGACCTTTTTATTTAAAACTTATTTTAATTGTTAAATTATTTGTATTTATAGGCTTTTAAATTTTTAGCCGAGATGCACCGGGGGTTTTTAAATATTTTTTTTATTGTTATATTGTTATTTATGTATTTATGTATTTTGTTTCTGTTGTGAGCCGCCCCGAGGGTTCGTTGCGATGGGGGCGGCATAAAAATGTTTTAAATAAATAAATATAAATTAAATAAGTAAATAAATAAAACACATTAGCACTGGTTTAAAAGGCATGTGCTTGGTAAGAAAGCTGCCTGCTAATGCGCTTGTGTCTGTTAAGAAAGAAGAGGCAGTTGAATGGTTGAGTGTGGAAAGTTCAGTTCAACTACTTGTGTCATGTATAAATTAGAGTTTGGTTATCACGAACAAGAGTTTTAGAAATACACCATTGGCTCCCTCTCAGTCAAAGCAATAAGGTCTACTGCTTAAAGTCTGATTTTGGAGTAAAATTTCACTTTGATTTTCCAGAGCGACAGGGAAAAAGAGAGTTAAATTACCCGATAAGAATGAGAAGGAATTGCAGGGAAAGGCGCAGCTGAGGGTGGAAGAAGACAGTAGAGCTGATCTTGACTTTGTAATGTATGTTTGCTCTTGTCAGAGTCTCCTTACCAACTGTGGGAATCAAAACTCAAACCATAGCGAAAATTTAAATCGCCTTGAACTCCAGTGTTTTTATTGGTAAGATCACCCAGGCCCCCTGCAGTTTACTTACCAAAGCAGGTCCTCACCGCCAACTACAAGCGTTTAGAACATACACAGAGTGTTTTATTGATCCTGAGTCCCATGACATAGCAGCTAATCAAATGATGACAAAATAAGGGGAACACTCAAAAAGAATGTGAGAGATTTGCAGAGGAGACTTGATACAATTGGGTTGATTACAAGATCACTGAGACACAGGGATTGTTGTGGGTCTTGACATGCAAATGAGGATGATTCCAATAATGCTAGAAAAACTTGTCTGGCCACCTTATCAGTTTTGTTTGCTGTTAGCCCAAGAATAGCCAGGGGTTAACTTTCCCTGGGAGCCTCATTCTGCAAAGGCTTTTCCAACCAAAGAAAGTAGCCATCTCTTAAAGGAACCGCTTGAAAATAACACTAAATAAAAGTCTGTCTTGGAATTCTGGTACTTTCTGAGAAGGAGGCTCAGAGTTGTTGCAGGATCGATTTTACAACAGGAAAGGCACATACAGGCAACCTTTTCCTACCAGGATTTATCTGAATTTCCCCAACACTCTTCAGCGTTTCAGCACTGCTAGCCAGTACCCACCAAATGTGTATTAAACTCTCCCCCAAAGCAGATACGATTGTGTTTCAACCGGGGAACCTGCCTCTTTAATGGATCCTATAACAGACAGAACTTTAAAAGGAACAACTTGAACGAGGGAAGACAGAATCTACTTTATTTCTGCCTATTTCGGAGTCACGTGAAACTTGCCCCACAAAAAATAGTTTTAACCCTATGAACTATTTTTCATTGTTGTAACCCGCAGTGTTACAGATGAGACCAGAGACCGGATGGTAAAAATAAAGAGGAGTTTATTACCTGCAAGCTTTCTTGCAGGGACCAACATTCATGGTTAGAATGCGGTGCTGGACAGAGTTGGAATGAGGTTTTTATAGCTTCACAGTGAGTTTTCGGTAAATGGTAAACAATACAATCAGAATTGACAGAAATCAGAACAATGGTGACAAGGGGGAGTTACAGAATCACATAGCAGCAGTTAAGCAAGCAATATACAAAAGCAGATTTGGTTAGCAGTAAGTTTTATCTTTTTAATTTACACCTTCTAAGCAATCTTTGCCCATTACATTGTAGGTAAGCTCTTTCCACTTTCCGAGGGGAATTCTCTGAGGCAGTTACTAGTCATTTGAATGGGCTCGAGCTTAGGAGAGCTAAGCCTATCATGCATACCCTGAGACAGCTGATTATTCTAGTGTTTGGCGTGTCATGCCTATCTGCAGCCTAGAGGAGTCATGCCTATCCTGAATGCCCTGAGAAAGCTGATAGGTATCTCTATTATGTCAGGATCCTGGGGAGTCAGGTACAACATTCATGAAGACAGAATGATTTTAAAAAGATAGCCTGGCTAGATGAATCACCAGTTGGAATTAAGATTGCTGGGAGAAATATCAACAACCTCAGATATGCAGATGATACCACTCTCATGGCAGAAAGTGAAGAGGAACTAAAGAGCCTCCTGATGCGGGTGAAGGAGGAGAGTGCAAAAGTCGGCTTGAAACTCAACATTAAGAAAATTAAGATCATGGCATCTGGTCCTCTCACTTCCTGGCAAATAGATGGGGAAGAAATGGAGGAAGTGGCAGATTTTATTTTCCTGGGCTCCAAGATCACCGCAGATGGAGACTGCAGCCAAGAAATTAAAAGACGCTTGCTCCTGGGGAGGAAAGCTATGGCAAATCTAGACAGCATACTAAAAAGTAGAGACATCACTCTGCCAACAAAAGTGCGTATAGTCATGGCTATGGTTTTCCCAGTTGCAATGTATGGCTGTGAAAGCTGGACCATAAGGAAGGCTGAGCGCAAAATGATTGAGGCCTTTGAATTGTGGTGCTGAAGGAGACTCCTGCGAGTCCCTTGGACTGCAAGGCGATCAAACCGGTCAGTCCTAGAGGAGATCAACCCTGACTGCTCTTTAGAAGGCCAGATCCTGAAGATGAAACTCAAATACTTTGGCCACCTAATGAGAAGGAAGGAAGGAAGGACTCCCTGGAGAAGAGCCTAATGCTGGGAATAATAGATGGCAAAAGAAGAAGGGGACGGCAGAGAATGAGGTGGTTAGGTGGAGTCACTGAAGCAGTTGGTGTGAGCTTGGGTGGACTCCGGGGGATGGTGGAGGACAAGAAGGCCTGGAGGAGTGTTGTCCATGGGGTCGCGATGGGTCGGACACGACTTCGCGACTAACAACAACAAATTAAATGATCGTGGCTTTATACCTAGCTACCAGGAATAAAAAACTTTCTCACTATCGCAATGTTTCTGCATGTCATTTAAAATCACAGGATCCTTGTCAGGAAAACAAGCCTGCATTAGCTTTTTTTATAAGGTGCCATGATCTCAAAGCACCGAAATGAAAGGAGCCTCCAACGCTGCCCACATTCATTCCTACACCTTTCCACCACTCCTGCCCGCACATGGAGGATCCCAGCAGTTCTTGAGGACTCCGGAAGTTTCGTGCGACTGCCTTGGAGATTATAACCCTCTTCCCTTTCTCAAAGGAACTTCCGGAGGCGGCAGAGGCGGAAGTTACGTAGATGGGAGAGGCGGAGTTCTCTGGTGCAGGGCAGGTACCGTTGCTAGCCTCTCCGGAGGCACCGGGTGGATCCCCCGTTTCCTTCGCTCTGTTGCCATTGCGGCTCCTGCTCCCGGTCATGCCGCCGCTCTGAGCCATGGGCGCCAGCGGCTCCAAGTCCCGGGGCCTCTGGCCCTTTGGCTCGGGCGGGCCAGGCGGCTCCGAGGGGCCGGGCGGGGAACAGGCTGTGGCCCGGGCGCGGGGTCTGTGCTCGGCCACCCCCTTCGTCTTCACCCGCCGCGGGTAAGAGTGGAGCTGGAGCTGGTTCCTTCTCCCATAGCGACCGGGAGCGGGGAGGGAGCTGCGCGAAAAGGGAGGGCAGCTGGCTTGGCTTGACCTGAGCTGACCTGGGATTGGATCTCGAGGAGCGCGTCAGAGTTCACTTTCAGTCTCCCTCCAGTGTCTGTGCCTATTTCTTAGGCTGGTCCCTTCGCCGTATTCTAGGCTTGTGCAGCGGGGTGCCCTCCGCTTGTATTGGACTACAACTCCCAGAATCCCCCAGCCAACAGAGCTACAGTTGAAGCCTAACTCATGTGGTGGGCGCCTGGTTGCAGAAGGCTGGTGTCGGGACTTCTGATGTAGGGAGGGCATGTTCTCCTCTCTCTTAATGGCTTCGTTTGCGGCTTGTGTCTTCACTCGAAGTCCTGCCAATATCTGGGGCTCTGTTCTACCGGCTGCAGACTTAGGCTTTTGCTTACAATCGTAAACAGACTTTCCAGGGAGAAGCGCCCACTAGCGCCTCGAGTTGATGGTCTTGTTGTGGCGCCCGCTTGTGAGGTGCCCCTTAACGAAGCTTGAGCGACGGTGTGCGCGGACAAGTTCATTGTCACTCTGGCCCGCCTGTGTGGCTGTGCAGCTCCCCCCAGTGGTCCCTGCGGTTCTCTCAAAACCCTAATGGATTTCCCTGTTCAGTTCGTTATTCAAAGCCCTACTCTTCTTGAGGTAAAAGAAAAATAATGGCCAAAGGGGTTTTTCTACCCAGCAGAAACCATGCTAATTTTATGTATAGCAGGGGGCACCCTTGATATTTATGGAGAAAAATGACAGTATATATGGAGCTTCAGCGGCTAAGTTTTAGCCGCTGAATATTAGTTTTCAGTTCAGGCAATAGCATAAGATAGGTATTCTTGAACTACATCTTGACTGGAACTGCCACCATACTGGTTATCTGTTGTCAGCCATGCTTTTTTGGCTGAGACTGGGCTGTTCCAATTTATAGGGATTCACTTATTCCAGAGTTGCTGTTTTTTATGTTGGTGTTGATCCAGTGCCTAAATCTTTGACCAAGACAGACCAAAGATCTTTGAGGAGTTTATGCATAATTTAGACCCTTGTTCTAATTTGCAGAGGCAAAACTGAGCTTGTGTGGAGTTAGCTAATATTATCATTAGCACCAGGAGCTGATGCACCTTGGTGCACAGGGAAATGGATGATCTCCATTAGAACAAACTGTTTTTTTGCCAGTTCTTAAATTAGTAAAATTTCAGCTGTGCCAAAACACTTGATATCTTCCTGAGCAATGACTGGCATTTGTATCTCCATTCTCCTTAGGAAGCTTGCCAAGTTTTGTTGAATCAAGCTGGAAGGCTGGCTGCAAAGTTTCTATATTGTAGACAAGATATAGATTATTTTTAAAAAATGTCAGTTGTATGTACTTTGCTATCATCTTTCTTATCCCCACTCTGCCCTTTTAATTCTTCTGTCTTCTCGTCATTGTTTAAGGGTAATGATTTCGTATACATCATTAACAGCCCAATTCAGTGTGGTTGCCTGTAGCACTCCAAACTCAGAATTATGGGCATCCAATGGAAGGTGGAACCAGTGCAGAAGTGAAGGTCATCTCCACTCCCTCTCAACCCTGCAAAAGACTTAGAATCATAGAACAGGCGAGTTGGAATGAGCCAAGAAGGTTATTGGGTCCAGCTCCCTCCCAGTGCACTGCTGCAGCTTAAACCATCCCTCTCTGATGGCTGCCCAGCTGCATCTTCAATGCCTGAAGTGTGGGAGAGCACACAGCCTCCCTGGGTCATTGGTTCCATTGCTGTACTGCTCACTGTAACAGTGACTTCCTGTAACTTGAGCCCAGTTTTCTGTGTCCTCTGGGTTGATGGAGAGGAGATCCTGGCCTTCCTCTGTGTGACAGCCTTTCAAGTACTTGAAGAATGATATCTCTCCCCTACTCTTCTCAGGCTAAACATGCCCAGTTCTTTCCATTCCTCTTCATAAAGCTTTGTTTCCAGCCCCCAAATATCCTTGTTGCCCTCCTCTGAACCCTTTCCAGCTTGCCTGTATCTTTCTTAAATTGCATTTTTCTTGAACTTAGATGACCCATTTTGGCCATCTTAAATCTTTTCCCTCAGTACATGAGGAGGAAAGAGCGAGGCACTGCCAGGATATATTGTGTCATGTACAGCTCCCCTTTCTGACCTCCACAAACCTTTGGCAGTTCTTTTTGAATTGGCTGCAAGAGTAGAAGGAGGGGTCTTCAAGGTCAGAGTTTGAGGTGGGATTTGAACCTCTCCTCTTGCCACCTAGATTTTAGTGGCCATAGGGTTGCACCCTAAGAAATGCAAGATACTAACCTTGGAGGACGGTGCAAGCTGAAAATTCCTGTGAGTTTTCTTGTGGCTTGCTGTGAATGCAGAAACAGGACAGTAGACATACAACAAGCTTCAGCTGGGTTTCTTTTTTTAATTCTTCATACTGCGTTGTTGAAGAAGCTTGAGGCTACTAGTAAGGAATCTACTATTTTCCTTACAAAAGGCTACTATTGGCAAAAAGCTTACTTGTGAGCTTTAGTGACAAAATAACACTGGAAATGTTTAGTTTGCTAGTGAGATTAGGTAACATTTGCATAGTAGGAATGTTTGGTCAATTTAGTCAACATCTTCTTTCCAGAATTTATTTATTAGATTCATATCCTGCATTTTTCTTTCTTTCTTTTTTAAAGAACTCAAAGTGGTGTCCATCATTCTCCTCCTCCTGTTATCTTACCTTATGTCATAAATGGAGCCAGCCAGAGTGGGGGGGGGGGGTGTCAGACTAGATGGCCCAGGAGGCCCCTTCTGACTCACTCTGTTTCGATGTTTTATGTTTCTATTCCCACAAGAACCTTGTGAGGACTGAGAGTTTGTGACTAGCCCAAAGTCACCCAGTTAGCCCCATGAAGACTGCAACCTAGATGGCCTGAGTCTCAGTCCCATACTCTTAACCACTACATCACACTGGCACACACAAATTTTCATATTGTGTGAAAATAACCAATTTACACTGTGTTAACCTTTAATGTCTCAGCCTCTGGTAAGTGTTTAAGCATGATGGTTGTCTCCTAGTGCTCTGGTACTCATGTGACCTACAAGAGATTCCTTTGTTTAACAAGCATGAATAAAGGTGTAATCCTATGGCCTCTCAAAACTTGTCTGGGTGGCTAGAGGATTATTCACCGTCCCAGCTCCAAAGTCCTGCAACCTGTGTACTGGAACTCCAAAGGGCAAGCCTCCTTCTCCCCCAGCAACAGCTAGTATGGAAAGAACAGCTCTGGCTGCCTCTCCAAGGTTACAGACTGTCTCCAGATAGGAAAAAAGAGGAGTAACGAGGGGAGGCAGAGGGAAGGAGGCTTGGGCTGGCAGTTTATGCCATATTGGCCGTATGGATGAAACCAGCCATCTAGATGAAATGCAGGGCTTGCAGTGCAGTGGAGATCTCTGCCATCAAAGCTCTTGCCTTGCATGAAAGGCAGAGAGAATTGAATTGCACCCTCAGTTTGATAGGATTCAGTCCAGTGATTGCTAATCATTCTTTGGACTTTACTCTGCTGTTTACCAAGGGGGTATTCTCAACGGCAGACTCAAACCTAGCATGCAAAGACTGTACGTTTTTAGTCACGCAAAGTATTTCAGCAATGAGCAGGAACCCCGCTTCTATGTTTGTGACTTCCAGTAATGTGGGGACATGAGTCTTGCTTGTCCCATCCTGCTACCACAGTCCCGTATTGCACCTTCTAGTCAGAGGAGGGAGCACAGAAGGCAAAGCAGGTGGATGAGGAAGAGCAGGGGAGGAGCAGACCAAGACATTTTGCATCCACACTGCACTGCCTTAGTGGTCTTTTGGTCAGGAAAAGTGGGGAGAGAGACATTTTTCTCTGTCTCCCATAATACTGGAACCTGGGGTCCAGTAAAATGAAGCTGATGGGTGGAAGATTGAGGACAGATAAAAGGAAGTACATCTTCACACAGCACATAATCACACTGTGGGAATCGCTGCCATGGGGAGTGAGGATGGCCACCAATTGGGGTGGCTTTAAAAGGGGACTGGACAAATTCAAGGTGGAGAAGGCTATCAGCAGCTACCGGCTTGGTTGGATATGTGCTTTTCCTGTTATCAGAGGTTGTGTGCCTACATACACCAGTTGCTGAGGAGCTTGAGCAGGTGGAAGCCTTGTACCCACCCTGCTTGCGGAATCCTGGGGACAGCTGAACTGGATGGAGTGTTAGTCTGACCCAGTATGGCTTTTCTCGTGTTCTTACATTATTCATACTTTTGGTTCATCTTAACATGCAACCGTCTCAAAATCAGTTTGGGGCTGCACTTCAGTTGACTTCCCTGAAATCAGTGTCTCATTACACAGGGTCTAATTGTTTCACAATTCTGCTCTCAGCCATGCTTAGGGGGAAAAGGGGTTTCTATTTCTACTAGAGAACTGGAATGCAGAAATAATTCCCAACTGAAATGAAGCTCTCACTGTTGAATGGAGGACGGGGGCTAGCAAATGGTTGGCAGCGACATGTGCCACGTAAGCTGACTTGCTGCTAATAGCCAGCTGCAGATCTGATGTGTGAGTGGGGGGCAGGGGTTACATTTTCCAGTAAATCGTTTATCTTATTTTTTTTAATCCCTTTGCAGCTCCATGTATTATGATGAGGATGGTGACCTCGCCCATGAGTTTTATGAGGAGACAATAGTCACCAAGAATGGAAGGAAGCGTGCCAAGCTGAAAAGAATCCACAAGAACCTGATACCTCAGGTAACACAATAAGAAGAGAGATGGGAATGTTGCAGTCTGCCTTTGAACTCAGGAATGTTGAACAAGCAAAAAAGTTTAGAGGATTCTTTAGGGTTTTTTGAGGTTGCTTTTTATCTCGCAAACTATGCGTTCTGGGGTTTTAGCGTTGGATCTAACAGCCCTATAAATGCCCTGCATCCATCCTTTGCGGTGACAGTGCCTAAAACTGTAGCAGCCACCTTAAAATTGCTACAGACGTAAGGCTGGGCATTTGCATCGGGGCCTTTTTTTGACAGTGACTGGAGTCGCTATAGTTCTAAAAGCCTTGTCTGAGCTGCTGTATTTGATCATGGGGGCAGTCAGGGTGCCCCTCTCCTGTCTCTTAAGCTGCTGGTGGAGGTTCCGCCTGCTTCATGCTGGCATGGGGTTAGGCAATGGGAAGTAGATGTGAGAGCCACTTTGTTTTCACTCGAATAACATTCTGCATTGGTTCCTGGAGGATTTCTGATTGAACAGAGGAAAATAATAAATAGTTAATTATTATTGTTTAATATTTTACCTTGTCATCCCCAACCTTGTGGCAGTTTAGATAATAGGTTTCTATTCAAAATGACTACATTTTTATGTTTAAGCAGCTATCCTTTTAAATAATAAACAACGTGTAATAGTCTAAATCAATAGAACAAATGAGTTTTGTACCTCATATTTATGCACATATTTATATGCTGTCTAACCACCAAAAGGCCTAGGAGAGAGCAGCTCTAGGCTTCATTAGGAAAGTAGTTCCCCAATTGTGCACACTAATGCATTATAAGGACTTGAATATTTATCACATTAAGCAATATAGAAGTCTTACAAATAAGCATAAACTACACTCTGTCTGGTGTTAGGGACCTAACCATGTGTTAACACCTTTGTTGAATAAGAATGCTGTTCTTGCAAGACCCGTTAATAGCAGCAAACACAGTGACCTGAGTCCACGATTCTCCGCAGTTGGTTCTGTATTCCCAAGGGAGGTCTATGTTGGTATTTCAAAGGGTGATCTGCCATTCAGAGGAAAACTAAACCAAAAAATCACTGGAAATGCCTGAAACAGCTTGACTCCTAGTACATGATAAATCCAAATTTGACTGTAGGAGTCCAGTAGTCTGGATTACTGTGAGAATGAGAGGAGGGTTAAAAAGTAAGCCACCTTATGTATGAATGGATCAATACAGAGGTTCATGAAGCTCTGACCCCAGTCAGAAACTGTTTGGAATGCTACTCTGAATGTAATATATGAACAGGAGGAGAAAATAAGGCATGGTACTGGATTAAAAAGGGTATGGTATTGATGGCTATCAGGCACAAAAACATTTCACATTCTTGAGAAAAGCAGTGAAAGAAAGTTCTGAAGTGGGTATAGGAGTGGGACAAGCCAACCCTAGGCTTGTGAGAATTGGCTAAAATACTTATTAGCACAAATCCATGATTCAGCAACAAATGCAATCCAATTAATAGTGGCACTTCAGAGAAACTGTAGACATTACTGCTTGATATTTCATCAAATCCAGGTGAAGCAGTGGGCATGGAAATGGACTGGATGAGGGCCAATAAACTGAGATTCAGTCCGGACAAGTCAGAGGTAAAGTTGGTGGACGGTTCCCTACCCAGCTTAGCGATATTCAGTTTTTTCTGGGAGGGGTTTCCATCCTCCTAGAGCGTCAGGCGTGTTGTTTGGGAGTGCTCTTGAGTCTAGTTTTTGTCATCAGAGGCTCTTATCGGACTAGGCTGATGCACCAACATGTCCTTATCTGGACAGAGATAGTGTAACTATTGTTTTCTGGACTCTGGTAACCTCTTGTTGGTAAATTGCAGTGCACTAGATTTGGAGCAGCCTGTGACAATGGTCTGGGAACTTCAGCTGGTCCAAAACAGGGCAGAGACGTTGTTAATGTGGGCTGGCCAGCATGGTGATGATATGCCAGCAGCTTTCCATCTGTACTGGCTACCAGTCCATGTCTGGCTAATGCTCTGCTTTTAATGCTGATTACTGCTAGCAGTAGCATACATTCCGGCTCCTAAACCACTTGCCACAAATCTGTCTACACCCGCCCAGACCAAACTTTGGGAGCCCCCGTCAAAGGAAGGGAGTTAGGCGGTGGCTCAGAAGGCCATTTTGTTTGTGGCACCCCAGTTGTAGAGTTTCCAAGACAGGCTCACCTGGCACCTGCATTGCCCTTTTTTTCCTGCACCACATAAAGATCTTCCTGTTTTCCCAGGCATCTGAGTCTTTCGATTTCTGGCCACATTCTGTTTGACCAGCTTAGCAGCAGAACTTTTCAGGCAATATGCTGAATGTGAAAAAAGGATCATCATGTTGTCCTCCGATCCTGCTCCTCAGACTTCTGCATAGAAATGTCTATTTTCTAGGTAGAGCTCATTCCTGTAATATAATGCTTGATAAGCCAGTTGTTGCATAGGATTTTTAGACTAATGGTACCCTGTTTCCCCCAAAATAAGCCCTAACCAGAAAATAAGCCCTACCATGATTTTTCAGGATGCTCATAATATAAACATTACCCCCCAAAAAATCCCTAGTTAAGAACATCAGCCAGATGGACGCATTTAGTATGTCCATTGCAACACAATTTGGGGTTTGGAGAGTTATGATGATGTTCCAGAAGATGGCATGACTGTATTTGAATAAATGTCGATTGTTGTACATGAAAAAATAAGACATCACCTGAAAATAAGCCATAATGTGTCTTTTGGAGCAAAAATTAATATAAGACCTGGTCTTCTTTGTGGGTAGTTACACAAGGAGCTGTATCCGCACACTCAGCATCATGTGCCTCTTTTCAGTGTTGCTCAGAAAGAATGGATCGTTTGAGGGCTTTTCTGTGAGTCATTACTGCATCTTTGTTTTTCTCGCTCCAGGGCACAGTGAAACTGGAGCACCCTCGGATTCATGTGGACTTCCCTGTCATCATCTGTGAGGTGTGAGCCACGGGAGCAGTCTGAACAGTCGCTGTGTGCTGCAAATGCACCTTAACTTGCCCAGTTTTACTGTACCTCATGTGAACCACTCTAGGCAGCCACGTGTCCCTGCAGAGTGATGGATGTGGAGCACAGACACATAGTTAGCTTTGACGCTTCTGTGCCAGGAGGAGGCGGCGGTCGTGGCTGCAGCGCTGGGGATGTCTTGGACTCGGATAGTGATCAGAAATAGCATTGGCTGAAGACGTGTGTTGACAGGACCTGTGTCAGCTGAGCTGTCTGGCCTTGTTTATGAGCCTGCTCAAAATTCCCCTTGCTGAGTTGAGTAAATCCTTTTATCGGACACTGACTGACGGTCAGGTGGCAACAGATTTCAAGTCTCACAAGACCATGGAGAATCCACCTGCACCTTTTTCTGACCGGATGTCCTTGTTGAGTACCCCTGTCAGTCAACAAAAGCTGGCAATGACATTTCACTTTATATGCTGTAGATGAGTAAAGGTGTTCAGCAAGCTTCTTATGCCTTTCCCCTCTCTTCCCTCCCCCAGCATAACATAGTCAAATACCTTTGCTTTAGTGTATCCGTGTGGACTGGGGAGTGGGGATATCAAATGTTGCACTTAAGAGAACAGCTGGAGCTTTCCAAGATGGATACGATTGCGATGTCCCCGCTGAAGCAGACTGATGTGGAGCTCTTGCACGCTCCACATCATCTCCCTGGGAGTTGCACCATCTTTTTTCCAGGCTCTGTCATTCCAACTTTGTGCCTGTGCTGTAGTGAATCAGTAGAGGCAGGAGCCGTATCTGAGCATGCAGCTTTTCTGTTCAGGTTTACCAAGCAGGCCACCTCTGAGAAGCTACTTGCCTTGGCAGGTCGTGATTTCAGTCCTGGATGGTCCTCCTCCTCCTCGTGATTCTGCATCCCGCTTTCCTGCCCCTCCCCATGACTTTCTTACTGTAAGTCTCCTTCTAAAACTATTACAGGTAAGAGGTCTCTCTTGATCCCTCAAGTTTTGCCATCAGTGGTAGGGCAACTTGGCTGCCCTGCTCAAGAAGGCTGCCAACCCTTTTTTAAAGCCCTTTGACTGTGTGTGTGCACGCACACCCACTCACAGGTGATAATGGAGTGCTGTGACCTTCCTTTGGCAGTCACCTTGACTCCTTGGTGGGCCTGATATTGTCTCATGTGGAGAAATGTAGCACACTTCAAAGGAAGACTGAGCCTCCTCTTTTGATGGGGCCCTCCTGCTTCCCCCAGTATGTTGACTGTGAAACGCTTGATCAGCTGGGGCCACTTCCTTGGGCAAGACTGGCATTGGGGGCGGTGCCAGTGCTGAAGCGGCGCTCCTCGCCCTCATCCCAAGTTCCTTGTTCTAATTATGTTTGCCGAGCTCCAAGCAGCCAAAATCCTTTCAGAGGCATGTCATTTTTGAAGAGGGTTTCATATGCAAGCCTGCCTGCCTGCCTGCCTTTTCTACCAGCCCATCAGGTTTTTTTGTGTAAAGCTGTGAAACTGGATTGTGGGTGGGTTAGCTGTAGGAGCTGGTTCATTGCCCATCATATCTCCTTCCTAGAGCATGTCATTGCCTTTCAGAGCGCTTCAGGCATTTGCTACCTCAACATTTAGTTTAATCCGCTGGTGCAAAGTTATGCCAGCTGGATCAAGAAGTCTGTGTTTTGTGTGTCTTCATCTCTGCATCTGCGAAAGCATCCTTCCTAAGTGCTCCAGACTAGCAAAAGCACGGAATGGATGTAGCAGGGCTGACAGAGCTCCCTTTGCTGCGTTCAACTGCATGGATACCGCCATATGTTAGGATTGCTCCTGAGAGCAGAGGAGACATGGCTGTCCCTGGTAGCTTTCCAAAATGCACTTCCCTTGCCATGCAGAATTTTCTGTGAATCTGCAGCTGAAGGGGTGTAGTTACCTGTAAATGGAGAGCTGCACGACCTGCTGATTTTGAGCTAATGCCATACTTTCACCCTTTTCCCTCCATGCCACCCCGTTCACTTTGTGCACTGTAGCTTATCTTTTGGTTGGCTTCTACACAACGATGTTGGGAAGCTGACATCTTTGCCCATAAGCAGGAAAGACGCCTCTGCCGCCACGACCAGGAGCATGCCCTATGGCAAGGATAACGCCATCTCTGCATCATTATGCAGGATCAGCTGCAGGCTGAAATCAAGAACCAGTGGAACAGGAGGCTTTCTGTCAAAAAGCTTGCTGTCAAAAGCTGGCCCTAAGTGATCAGAGAGTGAGGCTGAAAGGCTTGTTGGTCATTCCCATTTCTAACATATCTGACTGGTGTTCTGTTGACTGTTTTGTTTCTGAGAAGCAAGTACCCATAACCAGACACTGCTGGCTTGTATTTCGCATACCACTTCAAGGCTTTGGGTGGATCATGCTGGAGACATCCCATCCACTGGAATCTCAGCTGAGCATCTGTCAGCTTGAGCTCTCCTAAGACTGCCTGGAGCTATTGACACCTGCTTTCAGACCATTTCTATGAAAGGCTGGCTTGCCTAGTGGGACTGCAGCTTAGCAGCTACACTGCGTGGATACTCTGATACCCCACCCCACCCCACCCCCAGTCATCCTGTCCTGCATCCCTGCTACTCTTGAGAGCAGCAGCTGTTAGCAGGGAGAGAGCTCACTGAAACTGCTTCATCCAGGATGCTGATACTGTGAAAATCAGTGTAACACACACACACACACACACACACACACACACACACACACGGGGACACACACACACACGGGCACGCATGTACGCACACGGACACACACACGGACACGGGCACATGCATTATCACTGTTGCTGGACAAGCAAAAAGTTCTGTTGCCCTTTTTTATCATTCTTTTGTGCAAATGTGTGGTTGTGTAGAAGACCTGAACTCATTAGCTCTACACTTCCTGTAGCATACAAATAAAGACCCTTAAAGGCAAATATGTAAAGTATTTATGGTCTGTCTCCTCTGCCTTGAAGTGCATTTGTTGAATTTTGTTAAATTTCAATAAAACTATTTGTAAGTCCCAGAACTTTCTGCTTCCTTTGACTGTGGGTCTAGAGCCAGTGTTACTACCTGTTAAGATAAGGGTCCTGACTGGTAGGTCTCATTGGTTCTAGCTGGAAGTAAATCTCTGTTTTCCTTGAACAGCTTTGCCAAGCAAGGCACCTCAGGAAATCCAGCTAATCCCACCAGAGGCTTGACCTCTTGTCTGAACAGTGGCTTCCTTGAGTTTGTCTAATTCTGAGTTCTGGGCCAAGAGCCATAAACCCTATTTTGCAGAATCTGAATTAATTTTCTAATAGTAAAAAAATTGTCTTTTGAATGTGTGGGGACTGGGGTTAAGATCAAGTCATTAATTTATGTTTAAAACAGCAGTTTGTAGCTTAGTGCTTCAACAGCATCTGCAGAAGTGAACTTTTCTTCTTACTAATTAAGCTTCAAATTATTGTTCTAGCAATCCATAAGAAGCAGCAAGGCTCAGGATAGATGCTTGTACTGTAGTTTTCCAAAATTCCTAAATGCATTTGTGGTTGTAATTCTCTGATCTCATGGAGTATTCAGTGGAATTTTGGTGAAGCAAACAAGTCTTTGCAGTAGATTATTTTGAACAGCTCATTAAATAATATGACTAGTTGCTGAAAGTCTATTAGACTTTAACCATTACTGCTTGCTTGATCCAGTGGGAAGTTGTTATTGAATGTGGGGATGTAAATATTCCAATAAGCCAGAGATACAGATGTAGAGTAAAATTAGATATAGAGTAAAAGGATCCTCCTTGCACCTTAGAGACAACAAGATGCAGTCCTTTGGCCTCCACAGCAGTTGCCTGTAAGCCTCCAAATTCAGGGGCTTATGAGCATCCCATGCCAGATCTCTCACTGTGCAGTTTCTTTTGCTTCGACCTTTGGTGTCAGCCAAAGGTTGCAACCTTTGTTTCTTAAGACATTTCCTCTGTGAGAAGGGCTTGAGAAACAGGACTTGGAATTTTTTCTGTGGGCCATCCTGTTTTATAAAAGCACTTGTCTCTTTTAGGTCATATATATTAATATGTCCATATATGCATGAATCACCCATGAAGTGCACACAGGAGTCATGCGATTTTTGTACAGTCAGTCGCATCTTGTGAGATGGCACCCCCAGGTTTACAGAGTGCGTGTGCTTACATGAATCCCTGCGGGGACCTGCACAAATTGCCCAGGTCTCTTGGGGGAAGATGGGTGTAGGAGCACCTGCAGGGATGAAAAATCACCATTGGAAATCACTACAGTGCATCATGCTGAAATGCTGCTTCTGTCCACGAGAGGGCAGACCTCGGCTGCTTTGAGCCCACTCTTACTACTTTAAACAACCCCTGCTGCTGTTTAGATTTTCAGTTTAATTTCTGGGTTATGTGAAGGAGCGAGGAGTGTGGTTTGGCCCATCCAGCCCAGACAATGAGCGATTTGTTCCAACTTTGCTGTGTCCTGTGGTATTTCACCCTCTGCTGAGAGGTTTCCTTGGGATTGTGAAATATGACCGGCTTCTGCTAACCAAACCCATCAGTTTCTGGCTGCTGTGGCCAGGGAAGCTCTATAGTCAAGTTGTGGGCTCACTTCTCAGGAGCAGGACACAATTATGATCAGGAGAGCACTCTTGTAAAAATTATACCTTCTGTGTTACTGCTAATAACGATCAGAAGCCTTTGCTGAGCATGTTCAATGGGAGCTTTGTAAAGGAGGGTTTCATTCTGCCTTGCCCTTAATCAAGAGCCTGAAGCATTCTCGTTGGTTTTGTGTAGCACTAGAAAATGTTTCTTCAATTGTTGTGAGCTGGTTAGGGTAGACAGTAACTGTGAAACATTTGCAGTTTTAATGATTGGATGTAATAGCACTACTGTACAAAGCTTCTATATTTATTCCATAGATCATTTAAAATAATTCAAAAGATGACCCTGATTAGATGGCTTATGCTGTTTGATGGTGCAAGAGGTTGTCTTGGAAGGAAATGGATCCTTTGCTGTAAGTTCTCAGGTGACCAGCCTCTACAATCAGTGACGCTGTAGCAGCGGATTTCCTGCATTAGCAGGAAGTTGAGCAAGATGACCTTTGAGGTCCCTTCCAACTTGATGATCTTATGAAGTCCACAGAAGATAAGCACAGGGTCTTTTTCTCACCTGTTGGAAATGCTTCTTTTGGGATAGGGCCTGGAGTGACACATAAGGACACCATGTAACTCCAAGGAATGCTGTTTACTTCAGAACTATTGCGAACCACACAGGTTTCATAGGTAGGTAACTCCTATGATTAAGTAAAATTTATTTAATTGAAGTGTGTCTTGTGTCCTATGGCTGATGAGAAATTCTGTATAGTTTAACATTTTTCACTTTCTGATTGATACAATCTGTACTGATAGATTTTATTTATTTATTTATTTATCGATTTATATCCTGCCTTTTTCCTACAAAGGGCTCAAGGCAGCTTACATCATTCTCCTCCTCCATCTTATCCCCACAACAACAACCCTGTGAGGTAGGTTGGGCTGAGAGTCTGCGACTGGCCCAAAGGCACCCAGCTGGCTCCATGGCCGAGCGGGGGCTCGAACCCAGATCGCCTGACTCCCAGTCCCGTGCTCTTCACCACTGCACCACACTGGCTCTCATATGTCTTTGACTGCTTTTCTCCCCTTAACCTTTTACAACAGGGCTGAGGAAACTGTGACCCTCCTTATGTGTAGTCTGCTCTGTCTGCTCTGTGACTACAACTACCATTAGCCCCAGCTGCTAAGGCCAAGCTAAGCAAAATGGGAATTGCAGTCCAGCAACATCTGGTGGGCTGCAGATTTCCTACCCCTGTTTTGGGGGATGAACGGCATGACAGCAAATCCCCCAACAGAATTAGAGACATGTGTGGTTTTTGGAGCATTCTGCATTCTTGATGCATGCTGGAAGCAAGGTCTGTTCGATCCTGGGACAAGAGAAAAGAAGGACTGCAGCAAGCTAAGCCCGCTGCTTTCATAGCTATGCCGTTTACACCAGGAGTGCTTGGTGTAAGAAGAGTTGCAAATCTTCAGATGTTCCAAGTAGCGACAGAGAGCCCATCTGTGTTCCCTGGTGTGTATCTATCATATGTTTCTGCTTTTGTGAGGATGGGTATCTTTTCCTCGCATTGGAGCACTTACTGCCACAAACAGGAAACACGACAGTTGTGAGAAATCCATTGCTACTTAACCTGAAGCAACCTCTTTCTCACGCACCAATAACATTCAGTTACAACTAAATGGTCTGATGGAGATATTAATATGTGAAAGTAGAGATCCCAGAGGCCAATTTCAGCTTTCAGTGGTACTCAGATGTTTAACTGGCTGGCATTGAAGGTCTGTTCACCCGTGTCTTTTAAGTCTTTTCAATTATGAAACAACTGGAAAGGCCTCTGAATAGTTCCAACTCTGGTTTTCAGTGGCTAAACCTTGGAGTCTGATCCATGAGCTTAAGCCAGTTTTCTCAGATCATAGTGACAACATGCCATTTTTAGGGCCTTGCTTCCTTTAATGCAAAGGAATCATTCAGGAAGGCGGCTTGTTGTGATAGCAGCTTATATTAGTGAATTACTAGTCAATAACCTGAGATATATAGCAGCATGGATATGAAAAAGCAATCCAGATTTTTGGTGTGGACTCTCACCCTGCAGTGCTTACTCTACTCTAATACTTAAAACAAAACCTTTAGCTTGGCTTTAGAGTTCTGAATTTTGTAACTCTCTGTACCTACAAGGCCGTCAAAACTGTAAAGCACTTGCAAAGTTGAAAAGGGCAAGGATTTCCAGGAACGATTAAACACTTCTCAGAACCGCTTCCCCATTTCCCCACGCCCTGGCTGTGGTCTAGAGAGACTGGAAACGCTTGGCAGGGAGGGCTGTCCTGCTCTGTACGCTGAAGACCCCCCTCGCAGTTGTGCCTCTCTTGTTAGCGACAAAAGCTCGCTCACTTCCGAGGGTGCATGCCACGCCATGGGGTCAGTGGGAGCGGCTGACACAGTTCCCTGGTTCAGGGCCTGCATAGATAGCGGAAGGAAGGGTGAGCATGGGCCATAGGAAAGAAGAGTGGCTGCCGGAGCTGCCGGCCGTGCCACTGCGGTTGGATCAGAAAACCTCACCGGTGAGTGGCTCGTTCGGAAACTCTTCTGAGGCAATTATTTGGGAGGATGTCAAAAGAATAAAGGCCATAGGAATATAGGAAGCCACCTTACCCTGACTAGGTTTGCATAATTATAGAGCGGGGGGAGGGGGCAAAATAGCCTTGGTAGCTGATTTCCCTGGCTGCGTAAGCACCCTTAACAGTCCTCACTGCCATGGCCTGCCACGTTATGCGAATCCAGGCAACATGGGTTGTAGTGGGCAGCAACCCTCATGCACCCCATAATGCTAGAACCCAGGGTCATGCCATGAAGTTGATGGGTGGAAGATTCAGGACAGATCAAAGGAATCATTTGCTCGCACGCAGAATGGCTGCACAATGGAATCCACAGGCCATCGTGATGGCTCCTCATTTGGACAGCTTTAAAAGTGGGTCGGGCAAATACTGGCAGGGAAGGCTCTAGAGGGCAGCTGGTGCCAATGGCTGTTTGCTGCTGCCAGTATGAGAGGCTGCGTGCCCACATCCGAGGTGCTCCCAGTGTCTGAGGAACATGAGCGGGAGGTTCTGCCGCAGCCGCCGCGCTGGTGGGTTCCCCGTGGGCAGCTGCTTGGCCACAGCGTGAACAGAAGCCTGGACTAGATGGGCTCGTGGTCCGACCTGGCACAGCTTTCTGTATGTTCTCATGTTCGTGTGCTGCTGGGGATGCAGCCCCTCCCATCAAGGCTGTGTTGCCCAGACTCACAGGACGTGGCATCACAAGCTCAGCGGCAGTAATGGGCAACGCAGGGATGGCGCCCGTGGGCACCTGGCACCATGCAACATCCATCCTTAAACGAAGCTGCAGAAGGGCTGCTGTGCTTGCCGATCAGGCGGCTCCTCCATCCAGCGCAGCATGGTGGAGATGGACCGGCGACA